GAAACTCTGTCTGCCTTTGTATAGATATAAACTATCTGACTAATAATATATAATCCGCATATATATTCATACCAAAATTATGTACAGACAACCAACCAAACCTTCCGACTTACCGAGTAAAATACTCTTTAGGCAAATTAGTTACGCAAAAGACTAACCAGCCAAATGCCGAATCCGATAGGTAACAATTTTGCCTAACCAACCATCTAAAAAGTTCTGCCTAATTGCATAATAACAAGACAACTGTAGGCCAACCCAAATATCTCATTATCAAAATAGCCAAAGCCTTAGCTGCCAGAACTACTTAACATGAGTTTTTTTTAATTTGACTAGCGACCAGCAGAATTACCTACACAACCCTAACTATCTGACCTATAAGTGACCAACATTTCTGTCTAAGTGGAAAACTGTATGTCCCCTTCCTATACATAGTTTATAACACGCTGGCTTACCTTAACACACCTAATTATTTAATTTACAACCTATATTCTTACCCATCTTCATAAACGACTAGCTACAGTTTCAACGGCATGTCTAATTACCAATTGAAGGAGCAAAAAATTAAGGTTTTAATTGCTTATCTGTCTATCGACATTGCCCCTGACATTCTTTCTATCACAGCCAAATATCATTTAGCTTAAGTTTCGACCCACGTACTTTGCCACCTTTCTAACTGAATACATATACCCTTCATAGCATACATTCCTCAAATTGCGTTTAAGAATGAATTTCCCCACAATGGAACGATTAAACCTGCGTTTCTAGTGAACATCACACAATCTTGCTTCCCAAAAGGTATTCGCATCCATGCAGGTATAGAATACAGTTTCAGCGTCGCCTAGGTGTCATCAGCATCCCCAGCGGGACTCGAACCATAACAGTTTAGCGTATAATATCGACACTTCAACCCCTGCGCCAGACTTCCACGAGTGTCTTTGGGTTACAGGAAAGTCGGGCATTTTCCCATATCCCATTTCTGAGGTGGGATATTGTCTATGAAGCAAAGTTGTACCTGCTATATAAATCGACTACATCACTTATTTTTCGTTTATAATTAGGTTTTTGAGACTAACAGTAGATCTTGAATAAGAAATTCACTTATGTTTCCTGGCTACACTGTCATGGTTCGAGTCCCGCT